TCGTCGTCGTAGCACACACGAGCGTCAACTCAAGCAGCGGTGGAGTCGCCGTCGAGGCCATCCTCGCAGCAGGACACGGAACGTAAGTCATCCTAAGACGCTTAGCACACCCAGAGCGCGACAGAATAGTATTCGCTATCGTATATGAACTATTCAACGGGAGCGCGGAAAGGCGGACAACGTTACGGCCGTAAAGAGTGAATGTCTGGCAGTGAATCCATCCTCTGGCAGGACTTTCACTCCTTAGCGTGCGAAGGCTGGAAGTCACGCGTCAAGTGGGTAGTGAGTCGATCCTCTGACCTGCTCCACGCTTGGCATCGCGGCCGCTGCCACTGCCCTCCGTAATTCCGCGTGATAGTGACGCGCTAACGGGCCACGTAAACCGCTACTCTGTCATAGCGCTATCATCGGGTGATGCTAGTACAACGCGGATTTATTTATTATGTAATAAGAAGTTGAATAAAGTACGATTTGCAAAAGAGCCCCACAGTTTACAAATTTATTGTAACGAATCCTGGACACGGCGAGTATACCTCAGCAAATCACAAAAAGCAGGGGGCAGCAAAAAGCTTCGTTACAACATCTGGGCTGATTAAATTAACTTTTCACATTGCTCAGGTATATTCAAGAACATATTTTTAAGCAATTTTATAAATATATAACTCAGACACTGATCAAAATTTTCAATTCAGTTTCAATTGATGAAACAAGTTTATGGCGATGATTGCCTATATCGAGTGGTTTCAACGTTTTCAAAGTGGTCGTGAGGACATAAATGAGAAATGAGCCGAAACCCAAAAAATCGCGCCTAGAGAAGTCAAAAGTGAAGACAATGCTGATTTGTTTTTATGATTCCAAGGGTATTGTCCACAAAGAATTTGTTCCACCCAGCCAAAACATTAATGTGGTATTATACCTTGGACTTTTGAAGCGTTTGGTGCGCCATATTCGACGTGTTCGGCCCGAATATCGCGAAGATGGAAGTTGGCGTTTGTTGCACGATAATGCGCCGTCTCATCGATCGACGCTTGTGGCCGATTATTTGACCAAAAATCACATTTTAACAATCAACCACTCCCCGTATTCACCTGATATGGCACCGTGCGACTTCTACCTTTTCGGAAAAATGCATTTGCCGATGAAAGGAAAGCGTTATACAGACGTGGAGGCCAAAAGGCTTGCACCGGCATACCGGCGGCCTAGGAACACGTGTACAAAGTTTCATTAGTATATCTCAATTTTTATCCAACTTACAGTTTGCACACAGACGGACGAATAGACGGACGGACGGACAGACAGACATCCGGATTTGAACTTGTCTCGTCATCCTGATTGTTTTTATATATAATAAGTAATAAGTATATATAGCAACATGTTGCAATAGTATAAAAATTCAGTTCATTTAGATACCTAGCTAGGCAGTGTGTTTCTTTGCACACTGTGAATTACTACTTGTAGTTCGATCTGATAAAAAATAATCAGATAATTTTTATACTCTCGCAACCTGTTGCTACAGAGTATAATAGTTTTGTTCACCTAACGGTTGTTTGTATCACCTAAAACTAATCGAGTTAGATATAGGGTTATATATATATAAATGATCAGGATGAAGAGACGAGTTGAAATCCGGGTGACTGTCTGTCCGTCCGTCCGTCCGTGCAAGCTCTAACTTGAGTAAAAATTGAGATATCTTTATGAAACTTGGTAGACATGTTTCTTGGTACCGTGAGACGGTTGGTATTGCAGATGGGCGTAATCGGACTACTGCCACGCCCACAAAACGCCATTAATCAAAAACAAATAACTTGCCATAACTAAGCTCCGCAATAAGATACAAGACTGTTATTTGGTACACAGGATCACATTAGGGAGGGGCATCTGCAGTTAAAATTTTTTTTTTAAAAAGTGGGCGTGGTCCCGCCTCTAATAGGTTTAATGTGCAGATCTCCTAAACCGCTAATGCTATAATAACAAAATTCACTAGAAGGAAATGCTTTTAGCACTTCTGTTGACGGTGTGAAAATAGTTGAAATCGGGTGGCAACTCCGCCCACTCCCCATATAACGGTACTGTTAAAAACTACTAAAAGCGCGATAAATCAAGCACTAAACACGCCAGAGACATTAAGTTTTATCTCTGAGATGGTATAAGATAACTTTATAGGAACCGCGTTCAAAATTAGACAGTGGGCGTGACACAGCCCACTTTTAGGTGAAAACCCATATCTTGGGATCTGCTTCACCAATTTCAACCAAATTCGGTGCATAAAGTTCTTTTCATGTTTCTATGTCATAGTGCGAAAATGGGCGAAATCGGACTACAACCACGCTTACTTCCCATGTAACACCATTTTCAATTCCATCTGATTCTTTCACTTTCCACTATGCAAATCAGGTAAAAATGATTATATCGGAGTAAAACTTTGCGTGAATAATACGTTTAAAGTATGCCACCTTGTGACCAGAAATTGTCTAAATCGAACCAAAACTGTTCAAACCCCTAAGTACTAAATATGTGGACCCCACTGCCTATAGTTGACCTTCTACCGAAAATATCAGTCAATCCACAAAGAAATCTCAAGCGAGTATACCATTTGACTTTGCGAGAGTATAAAATGTTCGGTTACATCCGAACTTAGCCCTTCCTTACTTGTTCATAATAGAACTTTTTAAATTACTTATCAATACGCTTCACCTCTTCTCAAGTTCATTTCTCTTCGAAATTGGCATTAAACAATAACAATTTGTTAAACATGTAAATGTCTCTCGACCCACCACCCATTGTTCTTGGTATTTTTAAAGTTTTAAGAGTCGAAATCAAACTTTGCCCTGTCTTACTTGTCCTCTACAATTTTAATTTTAATAGTTTGAATTACTAAATTTTCAATAATTTTGAATATTTTTCTCAAGCTGACCAGTCAGAGAAATCAGTGGCTGAAGCGACTGTGTATCTCACGGTATTGCGTGGTACAAATGAAAGCCCAGGGCATCTCATTAATTGATGTGGGTTCAAACGCATTAGGTTTCACTTAGAGTTTCGCCGGAACGAGTGTTAAATGAAGTTGAAAATGGACTTACTTGGCGCAATACGATTCTACCAAATTGGTTGCACACATACCTAATAGGTACTTGCGTATGTAAGCATAAAGTAAATAGAAAAAGTAAGAAGAGAAGCCATCAAAAGGCAAAGAGCGGGGACGATTACTTACTATGTGGTAGGAAAAAGGATACCCGCTGCTGCCACGTCGGCAAAGATGGCAGCAGCAGGGGTCAAATAATGTTTTAATTTTTAATTAACAAAAAGAGTGGTTGGTAGTGTAGTTGACCAGTAATTTGTTGGTGCATTCGTGCCGTTGCGTCATTTCTCTGCCAATTAAGGCAGAGGCAAACATGTAAAATGAGTAGCAGTAGTTGAAGAAATTCGAGTATTTAAGTAGACAGTAAGTATAAAAACGTATAGCATAAGAAACAACATCTAATATAAATAAGATTAAAGACAAAAGCCAAACAAATGAAGATGGCAGGTTGCTGCTAAGGGTTAGGCCAGTGGCTGAGGATAGCGTTCGTTCCATGCTTGTTTAGTGAAGTGGAAACTAATAAGTTGTAACCGATATTGGTGTGCATAGTCTGTATGTATAACTAAATAGTGACCCCCTTGACGAACATGTCTATCCAAATGTTGGTGATAATTTTATCTTTTTGTTTAAAAAATGCTTAATATGGAAATGGATAACATAAAAGCGTAAAAACTTTTCGAACAAGCAGTCCAGATTATATAAATAATTGTTTTGAAACAAATCTCGCATTTCTTCGCGGCATACCAAATTCTGTTTCAATGATAAAAATTCCGGAATAACTGACATTTATTGTAAAATAATAAAAATATTTTAAACAATATTAACTTCTCATTTATTCAATAAAAGAAAAAAAAAAAAATATCGGCCGTTCCGACAAATGAGCAGCTTCTTAGTGAGAAAAAGACAAAAACCTTTATAATGACGACCAAAGCGATCAGCGTTGATAGTACAGTGCGTTCAACAACTAACGTTTTTCTTTGTGCGATCAATTCACGGAAAACTGTTTTTATTTTAGACGGTCAGTTTTTTCCATTTTCTTAATTTGTAACGTCATGCCGTGAAATAAGAAAAATTAGTATAAGAAACGTTTTGATGCAATCTTTCTAACAAAGCATCCTAAAGATTAAGTAAATATATGAAGAGGTGGTCTGACCATTAAGAAAAAACAGTAAACGTAAATGACAAGCTAGGAAGAGGGAGGAATCATATGACCACCTACTTGGTATTTTATTAATTTTTATTATAAGTCTTAGACTCCGTTAGTTTTATTACTATATTTTAACTCCTACAGCTAAAATTATATTGAAATATATTACATGAACTCGAGAAAGGCAAAATTTAATATATTTAGTTAATCTGGAAAACTTTAACAAGTGAATCGGAATCCATAATTTTAGAGCTATGAGGGTTTTGGCACTGCTAACAAACATATTATTAACAGTAAAAATGATAATTTAGTTTCATTAAGGTACCTGAAACACCAACACCTATACATATAAGAAGTGAAGTCAACTAGATGTTTGAAAATCCTGATTATAAGATCTAGTGTAAGTTTGCTCCCCATCCATTTTAGACACAAAGATACACCGTTATTAGAAAAACACGCTCTCGCAATTTTATATGGCCACTACGAAAGTCAGCGAGAAATAATCAGCAGTAATGGAGACAAGAACTTATTAGTATATAGCAACTGTATGACACCAACATACTTATGGTATATGGTACTCGCATATCTAAAATACATAAGACCTGTGTATATACTTATACTTACTAAATATTATAAATGTGAATATAAGTATGTTTGTTACGCTTTCACGCCGAAACCACGTAAATCATCTTCATGAAACTTTGTACACTTAAGGTATTAGAAAAGACATAGGATATTTTTTATTAAAAAAAAGTATACATCTTTTACGAATTGTGAAAAAAAAATATTTTGGAGGACCATATCTGTTCGTAAAATAAACTTAAAAATTTGAAAAAAATTATTATGTCAGATAAAATTGTTTGTCGAAAAATTTCAAAATATAACAAAACAATAATTCATCAAAATCGTAATTCAGAGAAATTGGACGATGATTATCATCGTGGTATAATATTCGTGTACATTGTATTATGTATTTAGTTGTTTGTTTTTATTAATAATCTTTGATATTTATTTAAGGGATTCAATGCGAACGGAACTGTGGGAAAAGCTAGTAATATATAAAACTGGATTATCGGATACGAGAGCAAAAGTTTAATTTAAGATTATTTAAAAGTAAAGGATTTAGTAATTAATAAGACAATACAAATTATAGAGAAGGATTCCAAAAAATGTATTTTTCAAATGAAGTTATTTTTAATATCACTAGTTCTTTGACCATCTACCATTTTCAAATATTTATAAATAAAACATTTACAAATGTCCTTGAAGGCAATCTATGCGGGAGGCATACTTAACTTTCGAACATGCAAAAAGTCGGGCAGAATAAGGGTTATACAAAATCCAGATTTCGTACAACTTTCGGAGTATATCCAAACCCAACAAATACAGTATGAATGTAACTATACTGTGATCTTTTCCCACCTTTAGCCTCTTCAGAATGGTTATATTTTCTTCTATTATTTATTGTCAAAAAAAAGTTGTTTTTTACTAAATTTATTTTGACAATCTTATCTAAATTGATCTTACTTTAAATTGTATATAAAGCTTAATATAACAGTAGTTATAGCACTTCTCGCCCCCACGCACGAGTTTCACCCTGCATGACGTATGGCAAGGATATGATGAGTGCTGATTTGTAGCGAAAAATTATTTTCAAGAGTAGGGGAGAACGTTGAATTATTTCTAAATAAAATATAGACTTGAGTTGGATCCCGCTAGTTGTTTGAACATAAAAATTACAATAACCATTTCCTAACGACTCGCAAGAATAAAGGGTTAATAACTGCAGCCAACTAGTATTGGGATAACTTAGTTTCGATATAAATTGTATGATTGGAAATATTCATATGTATATACACGTGTGGAAATGTTTTGTAGCTATTTTGAATGAGATATACAACTAACCATGAGGAAAAAAAATTAGTTGAAATTTTAATAAGTACCCAAAACTTATTAACAAGAAATTTATCTAAAAAATATTAAAAACATATAAAATGATAAAACTAGGTTGCAAATTAAGATACAATCCCGTTATTTAGTATAAGATATCGCAGTGGATGGTGCCATCTGTGGACTGCACATTTTTAAAAGTGGGTATTGCCACGCCTCTTAATTGGTTTAAAGAGCGCACAAACAACTGAAGCTATTTAAACCAAATGATGAAACCTTACTCAATACTTTGTATCATACCTGAAAGTATTTGCACGTCTTTTATCTTTGCGAGAGTATAAAAGGTTCGGTGACACCTGAAATTTGCTTTTACTAACTTGTTTTACATCATAAACTATAAAAGTTATACGTTGAGAAGGTGAATTTTTTAAATTCAAATTATTAAAAAAATACATCACTGACAAGCAATTTCTATTTGCATTCGAAATGTACCTATATATACATATGTATGTATTGTATGTATGTATACATATAAATATACTAAGTCTGACCTCATAAAAATTATAAAATGCTTTTATAAGATAATTGAAGAAACTAAGATATTCAACGAAACTTCAAAAAAGCTTAATAAAATATTGATTTGCTTATACATTAGTTTACTTTTTCTTGAAGCAAATAAGTTATATAAGAATCATGATAAAGAAAACAAATTTATTATTATATTTATTTTCGAAAAACCATTACTTTGAATTCGTTATACATGTATTTCAAAATTTGCAATACATTTTAGGCAAGAAATACAAATTGAAAGCACAAACATGTCAATAGCTCTAAAATAGCCATAAATACTGTAAAGACAAATTGACTAGTACAAATAATAGTAATGAATCTCCGGTATGCACAATAAAATTAGCTTGTGAGTTACTGCAAATTTGCTCTTTTCCTAGCAAAAGGTAGATTTATGTGTGCAATATGAGTATGTTACAATATATGGAATAGTTTCTTTTTTACATACATATATATGTTACATATATTTATACTCTTGCAACATATTACTACGGAGTATGGTAGTTTTTTTCACCAAACGGTTGCTTCTATCACCTCAAACTAATAGAGATAGATGTAGGTTTATATATATATAAATGATCAGGATGACGATACAAGCTGAAATCCAGATGTCAGTCCGTCTGTCCTTTCGTCGTCTGTGCTAACTGTAAATTGAGTAAAAAATGAGATATCGTAAGGAAACTTGGTGCACATGTTCTTCGGCAAAAACAATAAGGACGATTTCGTAGATAGGGGCCATCGGACTACTGCCACGCCCACAAAACCTCATTAAAGGAAAACCTATAAATTTTCATAACTAAGCACACAAATAAGCAAAAACTTTTAAAAAAGTGAGCGTGGCCCCGCTTTCTAAGAAGTTTTATGAACATATCTCCTAAACCACTTAAGCTACAATAACCAAAGGTAGGACAAATTGTTTAAGAACTAATACCGACAGTATGAACATGGCTAATAACCCTGCCCTCTTCCCATATAACGGGTTTGTTAAAAACTACTAAAAGCACGATAAATCAATCTGGATAATAAAAAAAAACTTTAGAGAAGCCGCTTTCACAATTGGACGATTGGCATGGCACCGCCCACATTTAGGTGAAAACCCATATCACGGGACCTGCTCGACCGATTTCAACCAAACTCGGTAGGGTGCTTTATTATGACATTCGTATATTTCAGAGCGAAATCCGAATACATCCACGCCAACTTCCCATATAACACAATTTTAAATTTCATCTGATTCTTTACACACTTAGTGTCTTTGATAATGCCATCTCGGGTCTAAAAGTGGTCAAAATAGGAATATGACTGTTCAAATATGTGGACCCCAGTGCGTATCGGTCAATGTATGAGATATATTTCTGGAATTCGGAAAACATTTTTCTTTGATTATAATACACTCTTACACCCCAAATATAATTTTTTTTTTCTGTATTGGACAAAATTTTTGGTTTTTATTTTTACATCATTCAGCATTGAAAAATACATACGATTGTAAATTTTAATTCATCTATGATCAACCCCTGATTTTTAATCGCCATTTTTTTTATTATTCCACAGATCCACAAGATGGCAATCGAATATAATAATTGTAGTATACTATAATTTTCACGTATAGTTTTATCAATCAATCAGTAATCGTCGCCAGGTGTCTGCCGTTGTCACTTCTGAACCAGTATACAGTTTTCGTAAATTGTTTTATACTCTTGCAACATGTTGCTACAGAGTATAATAGTTTTGTTCACCTAACGGTCCGTCCGTCTCT